AATTTTGCACATCGACGGATTCAGGCATTTTTCTCCGTCATATATCATCCTTAGAAGCGGAACCTACATTGTTGTTTAATTCTTGAGTGAAAAAAAATTTAATGATGGAAAATCGGAAGAACTTTGATTAATTTGTCTAATAACTCTAATAACTCTCTTGAAAACGTCAATTTAAAAGAAAATTATGTAGTCTCAAACCCTAAAAAATATTTTAAGGACAACAACAAAATTAAAAAAAACACTAAAATCAGTAAGTAAATAAATAAGGAATCTGAAAAACATAATACCCAAATTATTGTTAATCTTCAAATTAAATCTTGCAACGAAATTAAATGAGAATAGTAGAAAATATTAATATATTGAATAGAAAATCTGTGGAATTGATTTGGAAGAATGTTAGATAGAAAAAATAAAAGAAGAATAAGAAAAGAGAGAAAAATCTGGAAATTTGATTCGAAAGAAAGTAAGAAAGGGAAATTGATAAACTTAAGAAAAGAAAGAAAAAAATTAAAATAACATTAACATTTATTCAATTACATAAATATAGAAAAATGTGTAATCTATGAGAGAGAAAAAAAAACTGTAAATAATGAGAGAGAAAATATTAATAATATCATAATAATTATTTATTTTTAAAATAATAATATTTTTGACATGTTTATTAATATTATTAAAGTATGGATATTATCACTAAATAAATTGGTTTTTTTGATTAGTTAGCTAAATTTTCCTTTCTTTTAAGCCTATTCCCAGGCCCAATCCCATTTTCCTTTAATATCCAGCCATAAAGTCGACCCTACCCACCTCCCTAACCACTCAGACCCGGCCCAATTTCCACTCCCAAAAAGATACCCAAAGAACCTATAAGTTCAACCCAACGTGACCGGACCCCTACGTCTCGTCTTCTTCTCTGTGTGAACTCCAGACGCGAACCAGAACGTGAGTCCAGCTGCCTAGCGCGTCGCATCCCTCTCCTCTGTCCTTTTCTATCTGTATGTGAGCAGTGCTATGTGGAGCAATCTCCTTTCTTGAGTGTCGTTTTTAAAAAATCAAACGGCTACTTTCAAAGTTCCAGTAGAAATTGGTACAGTGACAATATTTCACCTTATCTCCAATTCGAATTTCAAATTCGGGATAACATACAAAATCTGCCTGATTTTCCCCCTATTCCGAACCCTATAAATTCCCTATATATACCCTCTTCTCCATTCATTGAAAGGCGGGGGTTCTTCACTGAAAAAATAAAAGTAAGAAATATTCTATCGGGATATAGAGAAATATGATTGTATAAAAAGCAGTAGAACAGGGAGGAGAACAAATATTTTTTTATATCGAAGTTTCACCCGCTCTGTCCATTAGTTGGGAATTTTCATGGTTTAGAGTCCTTGTTGGTGGGATAATATGCTCCTGCTCGTCTAGTATCACTCCTGCCCGGAAAGGTATCTTCCTTTTGACCTTAGCTTATTTTAGCGGACATCTCATTTATATGAAGCTTACTGTTAGCTGTGGTTCACACGGCTAGTTATGGGCAGTTCGGTTCCAAATTGAGTGTGATTTAGTTTTATGAAGTACAAGTTATTGTTCTTTTCTTTCGTGATAGAATGTTGTTGTATGTATCGTCCATTAGATGCTACAACTCATTCTTTACTACTCTTACTTTCCGTGTTTGTCGTGTCCTTTAGCATTTTTTGTTTAAATTAGCTTCCATGTTCGTATTGCTTAAAATCTGTTGCGATGAAAATCATTTGTTACTTGTCTCCAAGAGTATCTCTTGTTTCCTCTGAATAAGAGTTGAATTTCAATCTTTCATATATAATTGGTAGTTTTTAGATTTGTTGACTCGGTAGCATATGACCTGCAAACTGGTGGGTTTCTGTTTTGTTTACGCTCGAAGTGGTTTTATAGCTTTTGGTTTGTCAACTACATAGGCTGTTTAGATAGACTTCTTCACCATTTTGGGTGTTACAACTTATACTATCATCTAAAAGGGTCATTTTGCCTATTTGAACTTGATGTTCATTATGTTCTCATATTACTGTACCAATTAATGGCTTTTGAATCTCGTAGTGATTCAATTTTTCATGTAGGATAAATATTCAAAGTCTTCTCTGAAACTATTCGTTCTCTTCTCAGTGAAGTCTTAATTTTTGGGTTAAGATTTTGTTTTTGTTCACCTGAGTTGAATATGTTGCCTTTATTATTTTTAGTTAAATCTTTGTCTATTGCCTTGCTCTCATGTGTAGTAGCCATCAAAATTAGTTGGCTTGAGAATAGAATATTAGATTTTATTATATCTTTTGCATAAGTTATTTTAATATTAGTCCAAAGAGTTGTTGAATGTGCCTTACACGTGATTCAAAATGTGCATTCTCCCTTATGTTTTCTTTTTTTCCAGTGAGCTTATTTCCATAAGTTTGTTGTCATTATAAGTGTTTGACTCTTGATTCTTCATATTGTGGTATAAAAGTGTATCAACTTTTAGGTATATCAACTTGATGCTCACTATTAAGCACTTTGACTTGATGATTAATTATTATAAATGTGCTTTTGCTATTGAGCGTCTGTTTAGCTATTGATGGGCAATTGAGCTTGTTATTATCCCACATGCTTAGTTATCTTAGTGGAGTCTCGTTATGATTAGTTATTAATCCTTATTATCTTTTTTTTTCTCTCGCATGAACTTTTGATCCGAGTCCACTTGAGACTCACCCCTTGCATAACGCCAAGTTTAATTCCTTCCAGTCAGTACCAGAATGAGATACAGGTTCCCGGAGTATAACATGACTGAAAATTAAATTTGCAGGCCTCCAAAAGCTCAGAAAGGAACTTATATACCACTGTATACACTGATATACAGTCAAAAAATATGGTATATAGGTCCAAAAAATATACTCGTGCTCGAGGAGCTGAATTAAGACGTACACACTAAGTATACAATCCAATATACAGGGAAAAGAACCAAAATACAGCCCATATACGGTAGTATAGGATCAGTGTGTACGCTGAATTTTGAAGGAAAACAGGCCCAAAGGCCTAAAATTTTACAGCAGTAAAATTTGGACCAACAGTCCAAATTTGATATTTCTTTTCCTTCTTATTTATTTATCATAATATTTGACTAACAATTTATGTTACCTTTGTTTGATTTAATTAATTCTTGATAATAGTCATTTCTCTTATTTTTATACATATTCAAAATTCATATACATATATACATATACATATAAATTTTACTTAGTCTTTATTTATTGGGAAAATTACATAGGATGACAAACATTCCTATGTAATTAGTTAATAAGGGTATAATTTAATTTATTTACTGCCAGTAAATACAATTATAAAATTTTTTGCCATAATTAATGTGACCCACTATCTATTTGTATACAGAATAAAAATAGTCATCCACAGATTTTTATATAATTTTATTCAAAATCAAATTTATCTCTCCTATTCTCATTCCATATCTTTTCCTAAAATTACTCTTCCCTTCTAATTTGAATTTCCATTGGGAAAATTTTGACGTTCTCCCTTCGATGTTCTTTCACTTTTGTTAGGTAACCGCCAAATTAATGACTTTCAATATTTTTTTTCTTGATACAACAATTGTATATGTAGTATGATTGTTAGTTTTTTCATATATTTTTTTTAAAAAAATCTTTATTACTTATCAGATTACAAGTCTTTCAAAATCAGAATAGATGATTTCTATCCATGTATGAGCATTACGAGAGGTATGCCATTGCATGTCAATATTGTTGATAATTCACCTTCGTATCAATTTGGTTAATTCAGGATTCAAGGTTAATGTAGGGTCTATGGCAAAACATAAACAAGTTTAAGTTGAACAATCTATTGAAGAATTGAGATCCATGAAAAAAAAAGATCCAATGGCAATTCATAAAGTCATCAACGACGCGAAATCTAGCGGCATTAAGATTGTTGAAGGTGGAAGTAAGAGAAAAGTCGTAAAACATTGATTCAAAAGAGATTGAATCTGCCTCATCAGAAGTGGACAAATCTGAAGAATATCGGGAACATCAGGTTGTGTAATTTATATACAAATTACAAAGTTATGTATATAGTGGTTTGTATATTAAGTTAATATATACAATGTATTATGAAACAGTTCTTAATTGTATATTCTATTAGTTGTATACCAATTACTAAAGTTAGGTATATAATGGGTTGTATATTAAGGTAACATATACAAAGTCTTATGAGGCAATAGCTATTTCTATACAATTATTTAATTTTGTATAAAAATTTTTGTTAAAATCACTCTATAATATTATAATACATTATACAAATTCGTCAATATATACAAAAAATTATGAACATAATAAAATATAGTATATATAAACGTTACACCCTCAAATATATAAACATATTTCAAGCTTACTATATATACAATTAACAAATGAATATTATATACAATCAGTTTAATCATTAATGTTTTTTTTAAAAAAACGAAAACATGAAATCACATATGCACATATATAACTATAATATATATCCAAAACTATTCTACATTTTACAAATTCCTAGAATTATACAAAAGAAAAAATAGGAACATAATAAAATATTGTATACAAACAGATTATCCAAAAAATTAAAATAATATTTGATGGTCATATACAGTTTACAACACAAAATCAATTACACATAAATATTACATAAAAATTATATACAATTTCGCAAATATATACAATATAATCAATTTATATATAAATATATCTATGTGTGTGTTTATGTGTTTCATAGATTTATCTAAAAAAATTAAAAAGAATATTTGATTTTGAACTGGTATTGTCTTTCTATAGTTTTAGATTCTTTTTTCGGAGAAATGTTTGATTTTGAATGTTTTGCTTATATCATGGGATTGTGTGAATTTATTGTTAGCATCTTTTGTGCTACTGTTACCATTTATTGAAAAATAATTTTTTTTGTATTTAATTAAAGAAAATGTTTTATACAAATTTAGAATCACCTAAAATACTAAACTATACTCATGAAATGTAATTATGTAAACTATACCCATGGAATGTAATTTCATAACATTCGTTTGCCATATATGAAATTTTCCCTCATTTATTTCTTGATCTTTGTCAACACTTAAGTTTATCCCTTCAGATCAATCCCTCTAATAACTTTCCCTTCGAAATAATTAATAAGAAAAATAAGTAAGTCAAATAAATGAATAAAAATAGATTCTCTTTTACTTGGATAAAATGAAAATAAATAAAGTAAATAAATAAAATTTATTGAAAAGTCATTTTTAGTCAAAATCGCCGGTTAACCGCGAGTAATGCGCATTTCGAGGGCCTAACACCTTCTTGGAATGTACATTTAAACTTCAAACCTTTTTCTCAATCAATTTTATCTGTTAAATTTCTTTGAAAATAATTTAAGTTTTTTTGATTTGTACTAAAGAAATTAAGTGGCGACTCTGTTAGTTTAGAAATTCAATCTCTCTTAAATCATAAAACTAATTGATTTTTCGAAACATAGTCATTTTTTATTTTTACTATATTTTTAAGTAAAACAATTGATACAACAACATCATCTAATAGTAATCCAACCAATAACCAATGCAATACAATTCATATCAAGATTACAACCTAGGGTTAAGAGGAATAGGACATCTTGTACAAACTAGACCAAACCATCAAGAAATAACATAATTGAGTTAGAATACATGTTAATCTATTCGTAATATCCAAAAGAAATCATAAACAAATCAATTCATAACACCAATTTCAAGATTGGATGAAACCCACTTGAAAACTCAATTTTGGAAATCAATTTGATTGAACCCTTTAAGGAAAGAGGTTTCAAAGGTAAATTAGATCAAATACCTTACAAATTGATGAATATTGATGGTGAAACTTGACTCTTTGCAACCCTTAAACCCTTTCCTAGCTTGGTCTTCAATGGTGTTCTTCAATAGAGAGAGAAAGAAGTGAGAAGGAAGAGAGTTTGGATTTGTGAGTTATGATAGCTTAGATTAGTTTAGTGGGGTTGAGGTCTTTATATGGGGCGTTAATTAACTTAATTACGCTTCCCTTAAGCCCTAACTAACGACCTAACCCCTTAATTAATTGATTGAAACTAAGTCAAAACGTGCAGAAAATTAAACCTTCACAGACGGCACCACGATCGACGGATCATGGGTCCAATGACAGTTAACCCCCCCCCCCCCCCCGCTTCCGTGATGCACATCCATAGGTAAGTTCAAAGACTGTGCAAAAGAGGCCCTTTGAATATTTGGCTAAGTGTTGATTGACGGATGTCATTGACACCCCCGTCTACCAACCTACGCTTTGTCGGTTCCCCTCCTTGGGTGCACACTGCCCAGGCAGTCCTTGACCCCTTAAAGCAAGGATCCTCCTCAAGGGACCTTAGTTGGTCCTTGTGGAGTCGTGCCTGGACGTTTCTATCATGGATCATCTTAATCACATGTAAGACAACCTTCCACCAATTTTCACACTTTTCCAACTTCAAAAAGCTAGTCAAATAGGCGAAGGCACGCTAGCTCCTCATTGAACTAGTTTTTGACGTCATGGACGTTCTTGGAGGTTTTGGTTTCTAGACTTCCTAAATGACTTATATTCATTAGAATAGACCTTAAAACAGTCTCTAAACATTATGAAACTTATGTTAGGATCTAGAAAACGTCTTGGATTTTTGAAGTGTTACATTATTCCCCCCCCCTCCCCTTTAGGAACATTCGTCCCCGAATGACACTAAAATTCTTTTGAAGGAAGGAATAGACTCAAGAATAGTAGCCCAACCAACAACGATAGATAACAACATCAACCATATCAATTACACAAGGCAATTCAAAACTTCAATTACCACACATAACGCTCATCATTACATTATGAGGAACATCCTTCTCACAATAACAAGAACTCAACATAGCATTTATGAGTCAATCATGCCAAAGCTCAACTTACCAACATGCTACATATCGTTTCATAGAGATTAACCATATCAAAATGCACAACATAACTCAAAATAAGACAAAGAGCAAAATTGACACATTTCAAGTTAATTATGCATGTTTCATTGTAACTTTATTGTAGAACATCAAAAATGCACATTTTGCAAAACTTCACCAAAAATAAAGAAACTTCAATATTTAGTCATTATTTTTATTATTAGTAAGAACAACTAACCTTAGTTGTCAAATAGATGAGGGTATCGGGACTTCATATTGGCCTTGGCCACCTATTTTGCACCCTCAACTAGGTGATTCTTCCATAACACCTTTACGGGAACCACCTCTTTATTCCTTAACTCCTTATCAAGGATTTGAACTGGAAATTCCTCATAAGAGAGGTTATCCTTCACACCAAGATCCTCAATAAGAAGAATAGACTCAGAATCACCGATACACTTCTTAAGCATGGAAATATGGAAAATCGGATGAACGGAAGCTAATTCACTAGGCAACTTAACTCATAGGAAACCTTACCAACCCTTTGCAAGATTTCATAGGGAACCACATAGCGAGGACTCAACTTCCCTTTCTTGCCAAATCTAACCACCCCTTTCATAGGAAAAATTTTCAAATACACCTTGTTTCTTCAAACTCTAAATCCCTTCTACTATGATCAGCATAAGTGTTTTGCCGACTATAGGACATTTGCAACCGGTTCCTTATGATTTGAACTTTCTCCAACGCCTTATAAATCAAATCGGGACTAAGAAGCGAAGGCTCACCTACTTCAAACCATCCAATAGGAGACCTACACCTCCTATCATATAAGGCTTCATAGGGAGCCATGGATATGGATGAATGAAAACTTTTATTGTAAGCAAACTCCACCAAAGACAAATGCTTGTCCCAATTTTCTTTGAAATTAATAATACAAGCTCTAAGCAAATCCTCAAGGGTATGAATAGTGCTCTCTGCTTGACCATCCATTTGAGGATGAAAAGCGGTGCTTAACTTTACCGTATTACCCAAACATTCTTGGAACGACCTTTAAAATCTAGATGCAAATTGTGCACCTCGATCTAATATGATAGATAATGGAATACCATGGCGACACACAATCTCATCTATGAAGATCCTTGCATAAACTTCCTCCGAATAAGTAGACTTGACGGGAATGAAATGAGCGGACTTGGTCAACCTATCTGCAATTACCCATATTGATGTCTTCCCACTTCCAAGTAGTAACTTGGATTTCTTGTAGTAAACCACCCAATTTTTGTTGTTCTGCATTCACTTGTTGGCAATTGGACACTTAGCAATAAACTACGCTATGTCCTTTTTCAAACCTTCCCACCAAAATACTTCCCTAAGGTCGTGGTACATTTTGTCAAACCAGGATGAATGGAGTAACGAGACCCATGGGCTTCTTCAGGGATCCATTTCCTCAACCCATCTACATTGGGAACACACAATCTTCCTTTATACCTCAAGACACCATCCTCCCCAATGAGAATGACTCATTAAGCTTGATAAGAACCGATTCCTTCAACTCCATTAATGATTGATCAAGGTGTTGTTTGGAATTCAACTCAATTATCATTGATGACTCGGAGTTATGATGGACCATGAAACCTTTATTCCCAGACTCTTCCAACCTCACACCCAATCTAGCCAACTTATGAACATCTTTCAATAGGTCTTTCTTGGCTTCATCTATATGAGACACACTACCCATGGATAACTGACTTAGAGCATCCGCAACCACATTGGTCTTGTCGGGATGATAGAGGACACTCATGTCGTAATCTTTCAACAATTCCAACAACCTTCTTTATTGGAGATTCAACTCGTTTTGAGTAGACACATATTGGAGACTCTTTTGGTCGGTATACACATCAATATGGACACCATACAAGTAATGCCTCCATATTTTTAAGGCAAATACCACGGCCACTAATTCAAGATCATGAGTTGGGTAGTTTCTCTCAGGCACTATAAGTTGTCTAGAAGCATAGGCTACCACCTTCTCATGTTGCATAAGCATACATTGTAAACACACTTGTATGCATTACAATAAACCATGAAACTCTTTGTACCCTCCGGTAAAGTCAACACCGTAGCGGAAGTAAGCCTATCTTTCAAGATTTGGAAGCTTCTCTCGCATGCTTCCAACCACTAAAATTTCTTACTCTTTTTGGTCTAAGTAGTCAAGGAAGATGCAATGGACTCAAAACCATTCAGAAACCTCCGATAATAACCCGCTAGACCTAAGAAGCTCCTAATGTCGGTTGGAGTCAAT